CTCTTCCCCTCCTGGAGCCAGTCTTTCTCTGGAAACCCTTATTTCTCCTCTTTCTTGCTGCTTGTCCCCTCGCATACAAGGTGAGGCTCGGGCTGGTTCCCAGCAGCCACCGGATGCTCAACCAGCAAAAAAACCCCACCAAACCTGCAGAAGGTGAAGGTCTGGGGAGGCCCCAGGCAGAGACACCCGGGCTCTGGGGACCAGCACGGCTGGCAAAAGTACCCAAAGGTGTTTTTCACATGGAGTTACAGTTCAGTGCTCGCCCGCAGCTGGTAACACGCAGCAGCCGGAGGGCACGGCATGGAGGGAAAACGTATTTCTGCATCCGAGCAAAGGAGGACAGAGCTCACCTTGGGGTGCCACGTTGCACTTCCCCAGGGAGTGGCTGTCTCCAAAGGACTCATGGAGAAGGGTCTCAGTCACGGCAAACAGGGTGTGGAGAAAGGGTGGGCATGGCTGGCACCCAGGGAGGTGACATCTCATTTTGGCCATCTCTCTCCTCTTCTAGATTTCACCCTTCCCTGGCAGGGCGGCTGCGGGGACTCTCTGGGATGCAGGGGATGGGAGCTGGGGGACTGACCCCACTGCACCCCACAACGAGCAGAGAGTAGAAACCCCACAAACATCCCCTCTTCCCACCCCACTCCTGCTCCAGCTCTTGCAACTGGGCCAGCATCAACCCCTGCCCATCACCTGAAGGGCTAAACTGGGGGGGAGCTGCCCATGCTGCTGCGGAGCTGGGGTACAACCCTGGGGGTAACCCCCATCCTCTGCCCCCCGGGGATGCGGCAGTGCCGGCAGTCGCATCTTGCTCCCTGGGCACATCCCCTGCGCTCAGCCCAGGTTGTGCATCGCCGAGTGCTCTGCAGATGGGCTCATCTCCACTTCTGGCGCAGCCCCACACCAGGCACGGCCACCTCCATCAAATAACACCACCATGACGAGCACGGCCCGGAGACACGAGGCTGGACGGTGCCCAGGGCGCAGGCACCAGCCGCCCCAGCGTCTGCGCCGCATTCAAAACCGGCCCAAAGGGGAAAGTCCCCATTGAGGAGGATTTACATGAGCAGGAAAGGGGCCGTCTTGC